AAAAAAAAAAAAAAAAGAAGGGGTGGAAGTGGAAAGATGAGGATATTAGCCAGAAAGATATGTATAATATTATTAGAATCCACAATCAGAATAACGAACAGGCTTGGAAGGAGATATTGAAGTGGGAAGTCCTTTATGCTGCGGAGTGTCCTTGTGGTCCATCATTGGTCCAGTTCGGAGGAAAAGCAAAATAGTATTCACCAAGGGCAAGAATTCATTCCTGGATGGGGTATGAGTTGCCTTTTGATAGGCATGATCAACCATTGTGGGACAGAAGTTAGGGAACCTTCTTTCCAGTCAGCCTAATCCAAACCTGGAAAGCCTGCCTCAAGTCAAGGTGCCAAGGATCATCCCCTCTAAAACATGGCTATGTTGGGCTGAGTGTTAATATTCACAAGAATAGTATTTGTCTCAGATGTAGAATGTTTGTGTCAACTCACTGTCTCAATTTAGATGTTTTTTTTATTGTAAGGAAGTTCTACATGAAGTGGTAGTTCTAACTATAGCAGCATGTTACAAATGACTTTTAAAAGGTGTTGATAATATTAAATCCTTTAAAGTATCCTGAATACTGTACTGTTAAATTAGTGGATGGAATTGGCAGTCTGTAAGTGATTAATTTGGTATGGATTTCTTTGTTCTGTCAGTTTTATGTGGAGTTTAAAAAATCCTACAACCTTAAACTTCACATTTCAAAATACTTGTATATTTGAAAATAAAACTGATAATTAACACGTTTTGGAAAAATAAATAAAAATAAAAAACAACTTTAAACTATGTACTTAGGGCTGGGTATGGTGGCTCATGCCTGTAACAGTTATAAATTGAGAGATTTAAAAGACACATCAATCACTTAACTAGATCCTGATTCAAACAAACAGTGAAAAATAACAGCATTTCTGAGACAGTGGATTTGAATATGGACCAAGTAATGTAGCATAGTCTAAGATAACAGTTATTTTATAAAGTATGATAATGGTATTGTGGTCATATAAGAAAATATTCTTTGGCCAGGTGTGGTGGCTCACACCTGTAATCCTAGCACTCTGGGAGGCTCAGGCAGGTGGACTGCTTGAGTACACAGATTTGAAACTAACCTAAGCCAGAGCGAGACCCTGTTTCTAAAAAGAGCCGGGCGTTGTGGTGGGCACCTGTAGTCCCAGCTTCTTGGGAGGCTGAGGCAAGAGAATTTCTAGAGCCTAAGAGTTTGAGGTTGCTGTGAGCTATGAAGCCAAGGCCCTCTACCAAGGGTGACAAAGTGAGACTCTGTCTCAAAAAAAAAAAAAAA